TACCCAGGGGCAGTCTTAAAAGCCGGCATGTTTGATTGCATGGACTCGCCGGATGAAGGAGAGGTATCCTGGTAATTGAAGTCAAAGGAATTGAGAGGTTGACGGATTAGACCTGCCAAAGGTAAAAAAGGGTGTAAATTGGAGATAACCTCAGTCCGACGCTTCCGGGTTGTGTCAGGCAAGCCGGAGGATAGCTCTGCATCCTTGCTGGTCCGGGTCTGCCTCCGATTTTCAAATTGCTGTTGCTTCAAAAGAAAGTCAGGATCTTGGTAAGCCAAAGGGTGTGAAAATCTTACTTTCCGGGTTACTCTTCGAATTTTCTGACGCGGCCGAAGTTCGGAGTCGGAGGAGATTATAATTACCTCTTCTTCGACGGGTTGGCTGTTGCCCGTGTCTCCCTGAACGAAGGTTAATGTCAGTAAAGTAGTGATAAAGGAGAAAGGGAAATTAAAAAGTTACCTCTTCCTCATTATCATCAGTATCATCAAGCTGAAGCAACTCAGAAGCGCTTGGCTTCCTTTTCCTTGAAGTGGTGGGCTTGGCGGTTTTCCTTTCGGCCCTCTTGGCCGCCCTGGCTGTCTTGGCCGCCTCATGATCATATCGGATTTTCCAGAAGTTATGATTTGCCTGTAAAAGGTTATAAAGGGTTATGCGTAAGAATACAGTATAACATGGTGAAAAAATAACCCGACGGCTGGAAACTTACTGCAGGGGCCGGGTTCTTCTGGCAAAAAGGCAGTAAGCCGAAAGCATTACTATTCACTGTGCCCTCTTTCAACAAAGACTGAGTTGTAGCTTCCACTACGTCATCTGGTAAGTCGTCAGGACTATGACGCTGAAGGTCATCTTTCTCGCATAATTACACATAAGCCGGGGCGGCGGCTTAACGGAATTATTCTCCAAGCAACCCAGACTCGGACCAGGTCAATGCCATCTAAGCCGTTCCCTAAAAGAGCTTTAATCTTCTTGATCTTGAGGGTGAGTGGCAGACGTTCAACAACAGTCAACTTATCCGGCAGCGGGTGAGTAGGTTCAAGGCGCAATGCACGGAAGCCGGGCAGCGGGTTTTCACCAGCCGGGGAAGTATCTTGGCAGTAGAACCATGTCTGGTTCCAGTCCTTTGGATGACTCGGCAATTCGGCATAAGGGAACAGGCAGTCTCTCCGCCTTTGAATCGATATGCCACCAAGCTCCAGACTGGGCCCGTTGGCCCGCTCATTCTGCCGGTTCAAATAGAACAATTCCCTGAACAAAAGTAGGCTGGGTTCTTCTCCAAGGTAGACCTCACAGAAAACTTGGAAGTTGCAGATATTTGACACGGAATTGGGCCCGATGTCTTGAGGTCTTAAGTCAAAGAAGTGCAGAACGTCTCTAAAGAATTTTGAACCGGGAGGAGCAAATCCCCGGCTCATGTGATCGGTAAAAATGATCACCTCCCCTTCCTTGGGTTGAGGTTTCTCTTCAGACGGTTCTGGAGCACGATAAGACATGACATCCTTCTTGGGCAGATGGCCAGACTTTACAAACTCGGACAGTTTGCTCTCTGTAACAATGGATGGGACCCAGTTATAGGTAACCGGAAGTTTAACAGCTTTGGGTGCCATTGGGTAAATTGAAGCCTACAACAAGATAAAGGAAATTTTTCCAGTTCATTATAACCCGGAGAATAAACATTATTGGGTTATTTAAGATGGCGGCTTAAGAAGGGACCTAATGACATACAGGTAAATATTTCTAGACCTAAAACAGTACAGAGAAGTTCATACTCGCGGAGGGCTTCCAAAACAAGGGAAATGAGATCTGTTCTCATACAGGATAAGCACAAACATTTTCCACAGCAGTTCTAAGTTGTTTTTATAATCTAAGCAAGGCATTAGAGGTGAGAACTAATGGAGGTTTGCGTCGGGCGGCGATGAACGACGACGAACTCAAGACGGTTTCAATGCAGATCTGAGAAAGGGGAAAAGAGGAACTCACAGATGCGGAAGAACTGCGGAGGGTCGCCGTCGTTTTCTGGTCAGAATCGGGGTGATGCAGCGGCCTGAGTCGGTGAAGACGAGGGGGTCGACGGCGGCGGCGGCGGAGCTTGAGCAGCAAAGAAGGAGGTGCGAGGAGGAAGACGACTGAAGGAAATGAAAAAGACCTAGGTCGCATCTATTTATAAGGAGGGGCCAACCAAGACGGCGCAAGAAACGAGGAGACAGAATATCATTTCACAACGACCCCGACGCCTCGATTTTCGGGATGGTCAGTTAAGGCAAAGATCCGTTGAAGATATGATGAAATAAGATAAGGATTTAATTAAAAGATGATGTCACGGTGGGTTAACCCGGATCCAGAAGATGACGTCACAATGGGTTATGACCTTTTCACGAACAAAAGACAGAAGGACTGATTCTTAAGGTATTTTAAGATTGACATGAACCTGTCCAAATCAATCTGGGGCCTAATGTTGGGGATATAACTATTTGAGTAAGCCGGCCAGGAGGGGCCGGGTTATGCAAATAGGACTAATCGTAAAGGAAGCCCAAGACCCAGCATGAGGATGGCGGTTCATAGAGCTTAAGGCCCATAGAGACAAACCGCCGTAATGGCGTGACTTGTAACATAAGGTAGGGTAACTAGTCACTGAGCCGGACACTGTTTATGAGCCGGTCGGGACTCTGTAGGCCGGAGGGCATCAACCCGTGTATATAAGGGAACGACCCGCCGGCGGCTTAGGGCAAGAAACGACCAATCAAGAACCGGGCATAGCATATCTCGCTCCCTGGTCATCGAAACCTCAAGCAATACCAACCCAACTAGACGTAGGCCTTCCTTCACCGCAAGAGGCTGAACTAGTATAAACCTCGCGTGTCCTTTGTCCTGATTAACCTCTTTAAGCTTCCTAGTTGCGATGGCTCCACGATTAAGTCCTTGCAAGAGGACATCTGTCATGACAATTCCACGACATCCACCCTGTTGTCCTAGACTGCCAATAGACCAATCTAATGATTGTCTTCGAAGAAGAACGAAAAGAAACTCTGTGTGGGACGTTACATTCTCTCGCGTTAGAGCAAGCTTTACTTGAATCTGCACCTGCTCCTAGGGTTGTTGTGGTATCCATGAGTCATTGAGACTCAGCAATAACATTACCAAGGGAACTAAGACTAACATGACTTAACTTCTATCCTAAGGGGAGATTGAAAAGTATTTGTTGGGCTAGGACCACATTTTGGGCATTACAATGTTGTGGCAGCGCGCCAGCACCCGGGACAAATTGATGTTCCTTAAAACGGGGACTATGGCTTGTAGGCGGCGGATCCGGTTCTCTTCCCCGACCTCGTTGGCGCGATGCAGCGGATTCCGGTCCAGGCTAGCACGAGGACAATCCCTAGCCGATGTGCCATAGCGATATGTGCCTTGCTGCTCGCAACAGGCTTGTTCTTTGGCTCTAAAAGCCTCTTTGGCGAGGGTGCGACCCCGGATCTTGCAACAATGGAGGCTGGTTTTAGTTCTGATAAGCGTCTCGGCGACTCAGAAACTTGGAGACAACCGCTAGTTTCGATGTGTGCAGAAAGCCAAAAACCCCCAATGAACCTTCTTGTAATCTTCTTTGTATTTGAGTTTACAATGCAATGTTCCAATGAGATCTTTTTTTCTTTGCCTAGTACTTTTACTAGTTTATGTGTGCGTATGTTCTTGTAACTCGGTTATTGTTTAATGAATAGCACGGTTACTCCCAAAAAACAAAGCGAGCAAACGGTTCAGCACAATCACAAAGGGCAAGAACTACAAATTCCCAAACCAGAACATGAGTGTAGGAATTTTTTTCCCTACCACAGGGAGGTACCCTAAGGCCACAGAAGCTGTCATTAATAAATCAAAATTGATACAACACAATTCATTGAAGGACCTAAAAGAAAATAATATTACAAACAAGGCCTTCCATTTTTGCATACATGAACATAGAAATAACACTTAGAACACATTCCGATCCCGAAGCAACTGAGGAGCAGGAGAGGGGTGCCTGGGAAACGAAGTGACTCTCGACGGCAGAAGGAAGGAAGGAGATAGAAAGTTGAAGTAAATAAACCCGGTGTGATACATTACTTATTTGAGATGACATTTTTTTTGTTCCAAACACATTCAAATCGTTAGCTGGTGGAAACATCAGTGGGGCAAAATCCCTGTGGTTCTGCCGTACTCGACTAGGTCGTCGAAGATTTCACCCAGGTCATCATACTTGTACACGAACCCTTCCCCGATGAGTTTCTTCGATGACACACACACTCTTGGCTTCTCGCAGGATCCATCAAAGCTGCGGAAACATACATGAATGGTGTTAAACCCGCAACCAAAAATAGCATGTGTGGCTGTTAGGTAAAAAGCTCACGAACCGTTCAGGTTTCACGTCGTATTGTGGGTACTTCTCTGCCAGGAGACCGGCAAGCTGCAAGACAGTGGTATTGTGATTGCAGCAGATGTACCTACCCGACGAGGACTCATTCTCGGCGACGAACACCTCGGCGCGACAGAGGTCGTCGACGTGGCTAATCCCAACGCAGTCCTTGACTGACTGCAGGACCATCAGGCTACCCAGCTTTGCCTCATCACCTGGAAATGCACAGGACATACAAACACATTCGTAGGACACCGGTCAATAGAGCAGGAGACTGAAATCAGGGCTAACTTACTAGTACATCTTTATGTTGCCAATCACTGAAAAATGCATAGAGAAATGTTGGCCTTTCTCACCGGACAACAAGGAGAGGATGACGGGGACGCTAGTTCTGGCCTTGGATACTGGCGCCGTGCCCACAGTGAACACCGGCAACATGGTGACAAGGCTGACGCCGTTCTCCTCTGCGAATTCACTCGCCGCCTTCTCCAGAAGCACCTTGGAGACGGCGTACGCCTACGATGTAAATCAACCAATATCAGTGTCACGTCGACATATTTCCATCGATTGTAAACATCCAGGCGAGAGAGACTGAACACAAAGACATAGATTTATGTACCCAAGTTGGTGGCTTGTTGGCTCTGAGGTACTCGACGTCGGACCAGGAGCCCTCGTCCAGCACGTGGCCGCCGCCCTGGAGCGGCCTCCTGGACACGCCGGCGTCCGACGACGTCAGGATCACCCGCTTCACCGTCCCCGCTCTCACACACGATCTCATCACGTTGAGTGTTCCTTGGACGGCGGGTTCGATCAGATCTCTCTGCCGTTAAACATGAAGCACACTGAGTTATCCCTGAAAAGGAAATGAACATGATCCCATGTCTTCTGTGGCCCAGAATAAAGTGATGGGCACAAAGTTCAGGGTGTGCATGGGTGATGTGTGTTTACCTCAGGATCTTCTGACCTGAAGGTCATTGGAGCAGCAACGAGGAAGGCGTATTCGCAGCCAGAAACTGCTTCGTCGAAGCTGCCTTCCACCTCCAGTTGGGCACGAATGATCTCCAGGGGGCCAAGCGCTTGCAAGTCCTTGAGGTGGGAGTTTTTCTCCATGTCATCTTCATACAAATTACAGATCTTCAGAGTGAATTTGGATGAAAACAGTTTCCAGTAATTTTATCATAACTGATATGGTGTGCACTATATAAACAAAAAAGTACGTTTGGTACACACTTATACACATGATTTGGTAGGCATGTTTTGCTGCCTGAATTTACCAAAGGAAGCAGAACCTAAGAAACGAAATGGCTTATCGAGTCGAGACTGGAGAACCCAAGATTTCAGGTCAAACTCTGAAAGGAAGATTGCTGAAGTACGTCAAACGAGGAAACAAGAAACGAACCGGGGTCTCTGACGGTGGTCTTGACAGCGTAGCCTTTCTGGAGGAGCAGCTTGATGAGCGCTGAGGCGATGTATCCGCTCCCTCCGGTGACGCACGCCGTCTTCCTTCTCTCACACGCCGACATCGCCGGCCACCACTCGATCACTGCCGGTAACGGCGAAGAGAGGGATGATTCGCTCCTCTGCTCCGGTTGTTGCCACTGAGCTGTAATTAAGGAGCCGGCAAGTAATTTTCAGATCTGCATATCGTAGGCAACTCACAACCGGGACAAGTTGCAGCGGATGACGAGTTTTTCGGCAGCTGAAGATGACCTGCAATGCAAAGATGCCTTGTTCGCGATGTTAACAAGAAAGTGATAGTGTAGCTGGTGGTTGTTTACTCAGTAGATAACTAGGTATCGCCGTGCACTTGTAAGGTACAAACCATGGGCAACAGGCGAGGATTCCAATGGTCCAGGCTGCGTTGCGTTTGCATTCAACGTGCACGATGCGCCGAGCGTCGAGCGTGCGTTTATTTTGTTTTCGCAGGAGGTGGGATATGATTTGGCCGGCGGTGGTTGCACACGCGACGGCTGACGACGGCGCCCCAGGTGCCAGTTTGCAACGTCAGATTAAAAATAAATAAAGCAGATCACAACATCTTGTTTTTTCAACAAAGGACGAATTTAATTGGCTCAAAACTAAAGCATTAAGAGGATACAAACATAATAAATGACACTTGGCCTCTGCATAGTTGGTTGACGTACACATCAGTACGGTAGAATCCCCGTGGTTCTGCCGTACTCGATAAGGTCGTCAAAGATTTCACCTATATCATCGTACTTTTTTTTTGCAGGGATATCATCGTACTTTTTTTTTGCGGGGGATATCATCGTACTTGAACACAAACCCTTCTCCGATGAGCTTCTCAGACGACACACACACTCTCGGCCTCTCTGGGAACCCCTCGAAGCTGCAAAACCTTACTTGGACGTTGTCAAACCTGCAAAAAAAAACATGCATATGTATCCAATAGTTTAGATGGATGGTCCGCATACCGTTTGACTTTTATGTTGTATTGTGGGTACTTCTCGGCCATGAGAGGAGCGAGTTGCAAGATGGTGGTGTTGTGACTGCAGCAGAGGTATCTTCCTGAGGAGGACTCATTCTCAGCGACGAACACCTCAGCATGACAGAGGTCGTTGATGTGGCTTATTGGCATACCGTCTGTGGTCGAGTGCAACCCTATCATGATGCCCATCAGTGCCTCGTCACCTGAAAATGTATACGGTGATACCGGTTAGAAGAAGACAGGGCATAAATCAGATTTGTTTTTGCTATATATTGAACATAGAGGAAATGATAGCCTCTCTCACCGGTCAATAGGGAGAGGGTGATAGGGACGATGCTGGATGCGGGCTTGGAGACCGGTGCTGTACCCAAGACGAACACGGGCAACACGGTGACAAGGCTGATGCCGTTCTCCTCCGCGAATTCGCTCGCCGCCTTCGCTAGAAGCACCTTCGATACCGCATATGCCTATGTTGCAAATTCCATGCAACAGCCTCCTACAGACACGTGGTCGTCGCCCTGCAACGTGGTAATGTACCCAAGAGCTCTCGTCCAGCACGTGGTCGTCGCCCTGCAACAGCCTCCTACAGACAGCGCCGTATGATGACGTTAGGATCACACGCTTCACCGTCTTTGCTCTCACGCACGACCTCATCACGTTGAGTGTTCCTTGCACGGCAGCGTCGATCATAGCCTGAAGAGGAAATAAATAAATTGGCACGGTTGGATTGCCAAATGCTGAACAGCAGGGTGAACAGTATCCCAAGTCTTGAAAAAAAGTCTTCTATAGCTGAGATTTTTTTTTTTTTGAGAATAACTAGTTTGTCCTAACTTCCAACAACCCGGTCACCATGAGATGCCTGAAGAGCAATTATGGCAATGAAAACGAAGCTTGCTGGGGCATGGAGATGGGTGTTTACCTCAGGATCTGCCGGCCCGAAGTCCATCGGGGCAGCAACCAAGAAGGCGTAGCCGCAGCCAGAAACTGCCTCGTCAAAGCTGCCTTCTTCACTCAGATCGGCACGGATGATGTCCAAGGGGCCAAGCGCTTGCAAATCCTTGAGGTGGGAGTTCTTCTCCATGGCATCTTCATAAAAATTACGCATATATCTGTCAAAAAGAATAAAAATTACGGAATCTTCAGAGTCTTGGGGTAGGAATGAAAATGAAGTGGAAAGTTTTCGTTTTTCCGGAGGAAAAATGAAAACAGAGAGGAAATATAAAAATAGAAATGAAAATTTGTAAAACGAAAATGGAAATGGAATTTTTATGCGGAAACGGAAACAAAAACGGAATAGTGTTTTCCGATGGAACACACGTGGAAACGGAACTTTTCGTTTCCGTTAATATGAAATTTCCGTTTCTACTATAAGCCCATAGCTGCTTTGTAGCCCAACAACCAAACAACACACAATGACAAAATGAGTAGAATGAGCAAAATGTATAATTTGAGTTCCAACTTTTATTACCACACACATACTCAATTAGACCCTATACGGAATTGTCATGTACTACTACAATACTACCCTATGTTACCAACACAACTATATTATTTTGTAGCCATGTTAACAATTCCATCAATTTGTTTATTTTTTGTCTGTATTTCTCCATGATTTAAGGGGGCTTTAAGTTCCGGTCAACACACAGTTTTGTTTCCGTGTCCACTCCGTATTCGCTTCGTGTTTGTTTCCGGTAGTATCTGTTTCCGTATTCGTTTTCGGGGTTTCTGTATTTGTTTCCGCTTCTGCAAAAAAAAAATGAAAACAAATATGGTAGTACCCAGTTCCATGCTGTTTCCGTGCCGTTTTCATCCCTATCTTGGGGCAACAATTCCCGACAATTTCGGCATAATTTATACGCTATATATGCAGAACAGAAGGCACATGATTTGCCAACATGTTTTGCTTGCTGAACCTGCAAAAGAAATCATAAAGGACAAACTAAAAATACATGGGCTATCCAGTCAAATCTCAACTCTAATGAACCTAAGATTTCAGCCTAAACTCTGAAGAAGAAGAGCTTCTTTGATTCAAAAGATTCTCAAAGGAATTTTGGAGGATTCTAATCCTTAGGAATTTTTTCTATCTTGGTTGTTTGATTCGAAGGATTGTAAACCATAGGAGATTTTCCATAGGATTCATTTGCACTAGATTTCATAGAAAACATCCCATCCACTCAAACTTGTTTGAAAGAATCCTGCATTTTTTCTATGCACAATTAAATACTCGTACAATCATATAGGATTCAAGACGACATTCCACTCTAATTCCATGTTTTTCCTATTCCCGCGTTTTGGAAATCCTACGAATCAAAGAGGCCTGAAGTTTCCTGAAGTATACAGAACGAGGTAACAAGAAACCAACCGGGGTCTCTGACCGTCGTCTTGACGGCGTATCCCTTCTCGAGCAGCGTCTTGATGAGCGCTGAAGCGACGTAGCCGCTCCCTCCGGTGACGCACGTCGTCTTCCTTCCCTCAGCCACTGACATCGCTGGCCGCTACTCGAGCAGTTACGCCAAAAAGGACGATGGTGACCCCCTCGCTCACCTCACAACCGCATACTAATAGTTGTGAGGTCGTTCCTCTGGTGTGGTTGTCGGCAGTTTGCACCCTGTGCGGCGGCTGCATACTAATAGTATCATTCTTTTAGTTGTATATATTGTATGGACAACAGAGACAAGTTGCAGGCCATGTACTGGATGTTGCTATGGAAAACAGAACACGGTCGGAAGTGGAGAGAGGCTTGAGGAGTTGCCTAAAGAAGAAGTTACTAAGGCTATCCTCCTTGAGAGAACCATAGCAAGACAGAGATCACGTTTGTTGCAATTGCGGGAAGGAGATGGCAGCACAAGGCTCTTTCATCAGCAGGCGAGCCATAGGCAGCGCAAGAATGTCCTCCGCTTGGTCAAGCATAACGGATGCATGTACTCTGGCCAAGAGGAGGTGGCCTCCGTGGTGGATGCCTACTATGGCGCGGCATTTGGTGCCGCTGAGTCCCGGAGTTACACGTTAAATCTGAATGAGTTGGACTTGCCACGGCTGGATCTATCGCAGCTAGAGGAGCCATTCACTTATGAGGAGGTGGAAGGTGTCATCAAGGGGATGCCCCTGGGCAAGGTGCCCGGGCCGGATGGATTTACGGGCCGTTTCTATGCTGCATGCTGGCATGTTATCAAAGATGATCTCATGAAGGCGTTGGCTTGTCTCTACAATGGGGATGTTCGAGGTTTGGTTGTAATCAACAAATCTCTTGTTACTTTGCTGCCCAAGAAGGATGGTGCCCTGGATGTGGCAGATTTTAGGCCGATCATTCTTGTGCATGGAGCTATTAAGATATTTGAGAAAGTGCTGGCTTGCAGATTAGTGTGGAAACTACCGATGCTTGTGGGAAACCACCAGAGTGCTTTTGTGAAGGGCAGATCCTTACACGGCAACTTCATGTTGGTCCAAAGTACAGCCCGGAGGCTGAATGCCTTGCGCAACCCCGCCATACTGCTCAAGCTAGACATTTCGAAAGCGTTTGACTCCGTTCAGTGGCCGTTCCTGATCGAGGTGATGCAACAACGTGGTTTCGGACCTAGGTGGAGATCATGGATTTGTGGCGTTCTTGCAACCTCTACCACCAAGATCATGGTGAATGGAGACCCCGGGGACACTATTTACAACTGCAAGGGGCTCAGGCAGGGCAGACCGATATCACCGATGCTTTTTATTCTCACAATGGAGCCGTTGCAAAGGCTGTTTGAGCGTGCAACGCAAAGAGGGCACTTGGAGCCGTTAGCTTCTCGAGGGATGAAGCAACGGCTGCCAATTTTTGCGGACGATGTGGTGGTCTTCATCAAACCAAAGCCAGGAGAGCTCGAGGCTGCGAAGCGTATTTTTGCGGTTTTTGGGGAGGCTTCTGGTTTGCGGATAAACATGGCGAAATCTGCGGCCCTTCCGATAAGGTGCTCGGATCAGGAAATCACTATGGCAAGCAGCGTGTTAGGATGCCCGAGAGGGTATTTCCCTATCAAATACCTAGGCCTCCTGTTGACATTACGGAAGCCAACTCCGGCGCAGCTACAATACTTGGTGGATCAAATGGTGAATTGTCTCCCTAAGTGGAAGGCGGCTTTGATGCCGAAGAGTGGACGGTTGACCTTGGTCCAATCGGTTCTTTGTGCCATGCCCATCCATGCAATGATGGCCTTGGATCTTCCAATGAAAACTATTGCTGCGATGAACATAGTGTGCCGAGGTTTCCTCTAGTGCAAGTGAGCTAATGCGAATGGTGGCAATTGCGCTGTTGCCTGGGATACAGTTTGTGCACCAAAATGGGCTGGAGGTCTGGGAATACCGAACCTCAAATGGCTGAATGTGGCCATATGCAAGCTAGGTGGCCATGGCTTCAAAGGGTGGACTCGAGCAGACCTTGGAGCGAATTCAAAATCAAAGTGCCAACGGAGGCACAACTTCTGTTCCAGGCGGCCACCAGGAGTGAGGCACATTGTGGGCTCAACACCCTTTTTGGGAAGATCGTTGGATCCATGGGATGAGGGTGCAAGAGATCGCACCAACCATATATGGCATGATTCCTCGACGAGTCAGATTGACGAAGCATGTGGCACTGGCCATTGAGGATGGTTCTTGGGCTCTGGATGTTGGCCCGAAGCTAGGTGACCAGGCCTTGAGGGAATTCCTATCCCCATGGCTCTGTGTGTGCATGTGGGAGCCGGAGGTGGATGTGCCTGATAAGGTCACGTGGTCCTGGGAGACAAAAGGACGATACTCGGTGAGGTCGGCCTATGCGGCTAGGTTTTGGGGTCGGGAGGTAGCACCCTTGGCGGAGCTAACATGGTCATCCCGGGCGCCCTCTAATTGCAAGTTCTTCACTTGGCTAGCGTTGAGAGATCGGTGCTGGACATCGGACAGACTTGCAAGAAGAGGGCTACCGCATCAGGATGCATGCCCTTTGTGTGACCAGGAGGAGGAAATGATCAATCACGTGCTCCTAACATGTGTGTTCGCTCGTTCCATATGGGTTGTGATTTGCGAGGCATTGGGCAAGTTGGACTGGACACCGACGGATCATGACACGCTTGGCGATTGGCTTCAGGACAAGCAAGGTTTGAACAACCTGCGGCGCAAGGATCTACATACTATTTTCATTCTCACTATTTGGGAATTGTGGAAGCTTCGTAATGCTATTGTGTTCGACGGAGCATCCCCTTCGGTGGATGTGCTCATAGCTCGGGTCAAACCCGAAGAGAAGATATGGTCGTTAGCTGGCAAGTTCAAAGGGGACATTGAACCCTTCTTTGGTAGTTTAGAAAGGTGGGCGCGTAGGGAAGGATAATTGTAACGGAACTCTTGTAAACTATGGTGGAGGCAATCTTTGCCTTTCTTCTTTAATATATAATATGCACGCTTGTGCATATTCGAGAAAAAAAATACATTGCAGAGTTCAGCCAGAAAGTGGTTGTTATTAAGTAGTTGACAATGACCTGAGGCCGAAGATAGCAATCCCGAAGTCTAGGGGGGGGGGGCTAGGTAGCCGTCCACCTACCTCCACCGCTCAAATTAACTGTGCACGCGCGGCAGGCCCCAGCTGTCAGTCATCCAACTGCCCCGTCGTCGTCCTTCTTAATGTGGAAGTCATGGACCAGCCAGTCCACAGGTTCCACTTAAAAGCTCGGCTGCCTCCTCAAGCCCCGACACAAGCGAGCAAACCCTAGCCGCCCAAGCATTCCTCTCACACCCCCCCCCCCTTCTCGTCGGCGGCCATGGGGTGGCGTTGGATCAGTAAGGGGAAGCACGACCATGAGGCTAGGTCTACCAGTCGCTGCCACTCCACCAGGTCCGTGCCACCCATGACTCGCGTTTGCCATCTCGCCACCGCTCCACCAGGTCCGTGCCACCCACGGCTCGCGTTTGCCATCTCGCCGCCGGCGGCCTCGCAGCGCAGACGGCCCTACGTCGGTGTCGACATATGCCGACACTATTGGGAGACGACGACGCCACTCCCGTGAAGCGATGCCCACCTCCCCAACAATTGGCATCTCTCCGTGTATTGGGTGCCAATCCCACCGGTGCAAGTGAGCGGCTGCACCTGCCGTGAGGAGATCCACCAACATCAGCTATGTCCACCGTAGAAGGCACGAGGAGGAGGAAAAGATGGTTATTAGATACCACTCACCTGGTTTGGTGAGAAGCGCTCTAATGGCAATGAGGTTAGACGCCACTAGGACAACAACAAACCTAACTTTACTATTTGTAAGGTCGATCCGAGCCCCCTTCCTATGCCCACTCATGTCGGGGCCGGGGACATGGAGTAACTCTCAACATGAGAGAAAAGGTTGAGAAGTAAATGAACCCGTTGTGGCGTTTTTTGCTTATTTGAGATGACACTAGCAAACATGCCCGTGTGTTGCAACGGGAGAAAGAAATATCACAAACCAATCAACATGGCTGAAGACCCCCTCCCCCAACGTGACATTCCACGCCATCTATTTCAACACGATGTCCACTTGCCGCTTATCCTTCTTCCGGTCCTCGCCGACGATGAGCACATTATCCATCTAGTCACAATTAATCCAAATATGGTCAATCCCAAGATGATGAGTTTAATTTGACGCGAGGTGGCTAACGAACATCGACGCCCTCCTGGGCGCGACTTCCATAGGAACGGACGCTCCATGCATAACCGTGGTAATGCTATTTGTTCACCGACTACTATGAAAACCATAAACTTCAAAGCGCATCTCATCTACAGTTTAACCAATCCTTCTAGCAGTTTTCAAAATCTCTACAAAATGTAACCCGTAAGGTCATACCTTTGTCAAATTCAGAGAATGTGGGGAAAATGGTACCATTTCTGCATTTTGTAAAAAGATCAACCATTTGTTGTCGAATTCACACAAACTACTATCAAAATGGCAACTTTTTAACTTGTATCAGTAAGGTTATTTACTCGAGAGCATTGAACATAATAAATTCATAAGTTCCAAGCGTCCGCGGCATGAAACAGAAATTGGTTGCACGATAGTCCTTTGCCCGCCCAGTGTGCCACACTCTTCTCCGATAGGATTGGGATAAAGTGATCACACGTTAGCAAGAAGCGAGGTAGCCGAGGATGGTGGAGGGGGACGAAGATCAGGTGACATGCACGTTTGCATGTCACCGTGTGCCTTGCGGCCGGAATTCAAATTTAAACATTGCGACAAAATCTGAAAAAAAATCATGCATGTTCACAGCACATATCAAGATAACCCCTAAAAATTCAGATCAAAATTCGAAACATACATCGAGAAGCAAAAAAGAGAAACTCATATGTGAATAGTCTACAGCAAACCATTCGCGAACTATTCATGATGTGTTGGTCATGGGCTGGTGGAGGGGTGGGGAAAGTGGGGGCGGTTGGTTAACACCAAACTTTCTCGTATCTAATGTTGCAGGAAGCTCTCTGCCCGATCACGTTCTTGTGACTGAAGTTTCGTGTTGCCTTGAATCCAACAGCAACGGTGCACTTACTTTGCCAGTCCCCACTGCAATCAAATTTGTCAACAGCCATAGACCATAGTCATAAATATTATGGCTCTCTCAAAGGGATTGGAATTTTGAGGCCAAATAATTTCAGATTAGCGGAGAAAATTATAATAGATGAATGCGTTGTCGTGAATCCTAATGCCTTGTTGTTTTGAAGCTCCTGCACCACAAATCCTAATGCCACTGCATTACTAATGAGACCAAAATAAATCAAGTATCCTAATCTGTACTAATTCCGATCCTCCACTAGCACCAGCCACAACAACATTGCAGGGAAGCTCGCATGCGCCTGAACCTGAGCGCCCAACCCCGCCGCCAAGTTCGCCTCGCCGGAGCAGCACCTGGCGCCTCCGCGCCCCACCCAGCCCCACCCACTGTGCCTTCCTTTGGTCTCCTCTCCCCGCCCCCAGCTCGCCCCTCGCTGGAGGAGCACCAGCGCCGCCGCTCCCTGTTCCTTTCCTCTCCTCCCGAGCTCCCTCCCGCGCATGGCCCGCCTCCTCCTCCTGTTCCTCTGTCAGGAAACGACGCTGTCCAGAGAGCACGTCCGCTCGTTGAGATCCTGTCCCGTGTGCTTGCGGGATCGACGGCCCAATCACAGATTTCTCATTAAAGTGTGGACGGCGGGTTAATTCACAAAAAGCACAGGGACCTTTATGTAAAAACGCCACGACGGTGAACCCGGAACCTCAATGCGTGCTTTATTATTAGGAAGAGATTATTTTGCTCTGATCAAATATTGATCAACATATGAGACGAGCTAGTTGAGACGAGCTAGTTGCAAGACGGTGGTGTTGTGACTGCACCATAGGTATCTTCCCGAGGAGGACTCATTCTCGGCGATGAACACCTCAGCATGGCAGAGGTCGTCGATGTGGCTTATGGGCACGCAGTCCGTGGTCGACTGCATGCCCATCATGATATCCATCTGTGCCTCGTCGCCTGAAATTGGCGTAGGACAGGCACACACACACCATGCGTATGACAACACGGGTCAGAAGAACACGGACATAAATCAAGGCTTGCTTGCTTTAAAATAAAATGAAAAGAACATGGAGAAATGCTAGCCTCTCTCACCGGTCAACAGGGAGAGGGTGACGGGGACGCTGGATGTGGGCTTGGAGACCGGCGCCGCGCCCAAGATGAACACCGGCAACATGGTGACAAGGCTGATGCCCTTCTCCTCCGCGAATTTGCTCGCCGCCTTCTCAGCAAGCACCTTCGACACTGCGTATGCCTGCGATGCAAATATACACCGAACCAATACCAACGTTCAGGAAATGCCTGGGCCTGAGATATACTGAACACAAAGATTGATTTACGTACCCATGTTTCTGGTTTGTTGGCCCTGAGGTACTCAACGTCGGACCAGGAGCTCTCGTCGAGCACATGAACGTCGTCCGGCAGCGGCCTCATGGAGACCGCAGAGTCCGACGACGTGAGGATCACCCGCTTCACCGTTCCGGCTCTCACGCACGACCTCATCACGTTCAAGGTTCCTTGGACGGCGGCTTCGATCATATCCCTCTGCAGCCAAACACCAAGCATAGTCCCCCGCGGGCTTGTTCGATTTGGTGGGGATTGAATGGATTGAGGGGATTAAATCCCTTGCAAGTCGAAACATCCTTCAATCCTGTCAAATTCCCCGATGAGGGGATTAGACATGGTTGAGAATTTCCCCTGCCAAATGCTGAAATGCCGAGTGCCGACATGATCCCAAGTCTTCTATGGCTGAGAATAATTTGTCAGGGAGCGAGTGATGGCGCTGACAACTTAAACGTTGAATTGTTTTCCAATTCCCAACAACTCCATCATCTTCAGATGCCGGAAGAACAGTCATGCAAATGAAAATGAAGCTTGCTCTTGCGGTGGTGCCGGAAGGCAGCTGTTTACCTCAGGGTCTGCTGACCCGAAGTCCGTCGGGGCAGCGACGAGGAAGGCGTAGTCGCACCCGGAAACTGCCTCGTCATAGCTGCCTTCTTCGTCCAACCGGGCACGGATGATCTCCAAGGGACCAAGCGCTTGCTAGTCCTTGAGGTGGGAATTCTTCTCCGTGTCCTCTGCTTACAGATTACAGAATCATCTTAGAACTGAGATCAAAGCTAAATATGTTTTCAAAGGCTTGGCAAGCTTTCCTGCCTGACTCTACCAAGCAAATCGTGACGGATAGACTAAACGAGGAAGAACCTGCATCGAACTCTGAAGAGAAAAAATTTCTGAAGTACATACAAGAAAGAACTAGAAATGAGGAAACAAGAAGCCAACCGGGGTCTCTGACCGTCGTCTTGACGGCGTACCCCTTCTCCAGCAGCGTCTCGACGAGCGCTGAAGCTATGTAGCCACTCCCTCCGGTGACGCACGCCGTCTTCCGCATCTCACCGGCCGACATCGCTGGGCAGTGATGATCCCCTAGCTCACCTCGCTTCACACGGTTGTGAGGTCGTTCCTCTCGTATGGTTGGTTGTTGGCAGTTTGGCACACTGAAAGTGATAGGTGCTGCGTAGTACTCACTTGGTTCCTAAATACTCCCTCCGTTCCAAAATATAGCGCGTCCTCGGTTTCCGTGCTTCAACTTTGACCATTAATTTAATCAACAAGACCGACTGCGGCGGGCGAAAAAATTATACCAATGAATTCGTATTCAAAAAAAGTTTTTAATTATATAATTTTTGATCCCGCCGCAGTCGGTCTCGTGGGTTAAATTTATGGTCAAAGTTGAACCTCGAAAAGCGTGGGCGCGCTATATTTTGGAACGGAGGGAGTATAAGTCACTATGAACTACTACATACGAAGCAAAATAAGTGAATCTATACTCTATAATATGCCTATATACATTTTGTTCGTGTTGAAATCTCTAAAACAACTTGTATTTAGGAACGGAGGGAATAATAAACGAACAATAATATATTTTATTTGCAGATCTGAGCTATCGTTCAATGCAACTTGTCTCGGTTGTGAGGTGTCTACTTCTCTATGATAAAGGTGGTTTGCTCCCTAAAAAGGTGGTTTGCTCAGTTGTTGTTCGGTTAATTATTCAAATAAATCAGTAGAGAATGATGTTTTATTAGCCCATTACTTATCTTGCCTAGCGTAAACTTGACCCGCTGCTTCGCTTGCTTCCTTAGTACATCCTCTTGACGTTGACCACGCGCTTTCCCATCGCAGAGGATCATGTCCATGTTCACCTCCAGCAGCTCCGGCGTGCTGTCCCCGTCCCCGTCCCCGGAGGCGGCGGGCAGCAGCATGATCAGAGCGGCGCGGCAGCCCCAGCCGCAGGCGTTTGACTACTTCGTGGTCCTAGACTTCGAGGCGACGTGCGAGAAAGGCGCGCAGATCTACCCGCAGGAGATCATCGAGTTCCCCTCCGTGCTCGTCGACGGCGCCACCGGCGACCTCGACCCCGCCGAGTTCCGCACCTACGTGCGCCCGCAGTACCACCCCGCGCTGACCGACTTCTGCAGGGACCTCACCGGCATCCGGCAGGCGGACGTCGACGGCGGCGTGCCGCTGGCCGAGGCGCTCCGCCTGCACGCCGCGTGGCTGCGGGCCTCGGCGTGGGCCAGGAGCGGCGGCTGCTTCGCCGTCGTCACGTGGGGGGACTGGGATCTCCGCACCATGCTGGAGTCCGAGTGCCGCTTCAAAGACCTCGCCAAGCCTCCCTGCTTCAACCACTGGATCAACCTCAAGATCCCCTTCGCCGCGGCGATGGGCGGCGGCCGGTGGGCTGCTCTGCGGTCGGCCGTCGAGGCGGCGGGGCTAGAGTGGGAGGGCCGCGCGCACTGCGGCCTCGACGACGCTCGTAACACGGCGCGGCTTCTCGTGGAGCTGATGCGGCGCGGGGTGCAGCTCAGCATCACGACCTCGCTGCGGGCCCCGTCGCCTCAGGTAACTGTAACTCCATACGGTGGCGCCGCCGCGGCGTGCTACTGCTACTGCGGGGTGGCGGGCAGAGGTGGCGTGGTGGCGGTGCCGGGGCCGATGCAGGGGAGAGGTTTCTACGGTTGCGGTAACTGGACGCCGTCCATGGGAGCACACTGCTCCTACTTCACGTGGGCAGATTAATTGCTAGCCAATCCATGAGTTTGGATTTGGGGAATTAATACCCTATAAATTATACGTACATGTGCGAGTATCACTCCACCTCTTTGATTTCTCTTGTCAACACAGTGTTGACAACACTCTTTTGAGCTTGGTTTTCTTAACAACTCGAATCCTATTGCGTGGTGTATTTGATTATGTCATGAACTTCAAATTCTATACATGTTTGAGTATACTCTGTTTTGCTTGAAATGATTCATTTTCGAAACTATGGTAGAAAATTGCATGTTCCACTACTACAATCTAGTTTAGGGCCGAGTTTTGATATTTTGCCAAGTTCATTTCATCGGGAGCTCGGCAAACTTTTGCATGGTTTCATGCAAACTTGCACTCGTTAGTGAGAAGAAACTTGGGAAACTTGACGTCTCGTCAAGTACCAGCAAAAAGGATTCGGTGAAAGTAAGAAACTCGGAAGTACCTCAAGTTCACCGAGTTCCTCCGGATAAAAACAGCAAACACTGGCAGGTGGGCCCCATGGATGAGCAGACGACAAAGGTGTGATGGTGGACTATGTTTGCCGGCTTTCCGCTAATGGAAACTCGGCAATACGTGTACTTGTCTTTTTTACCGAATTCGACGGGTCACATGTATGTCAAGTACATGTGAAAAACAACTCGACAATTTCTTTTTGTTTTTTCGTTTTTTATACAGAAATCAAGGAGTAAGTGTATGCCTAGCGTCCGCGGGGATAAACTCGACATAAATGTGGCAGGCATACCCGCATGGCACATGTCATTAACCAGCTGATGGTTGGTCTCCCTACAATGAGTTCTGAAACTCAGCAAAGGGCTAAATCTTGGTCTTAAGCAGGGAATCAAAACCGGCGGATCTCGGGTAGGGGGTCCCGAACTGTGCGTCTAAGGCGGATGGTAACAGGAGGCGGGAGACACAATGTTTACCCAAGTTCGGGCCCTCTCGATGGAGGTAATACCCTACTTACTACTTGATTGATCTTGATGATATGAGTATTACAAGAGTTGATCTACCATGAGATCGGAGAGGCTAAACCCTAGAAGCTAGCCTATGATATGATTGTTGTTGTCCTACGGACTAAAACCCTCCGGTTTATATAGACACCGGAGGGGCTAGGGTTACACATAGTCGGTTATAAGGGAGGAGATCTACATATCCGAATCGTCAAGCTTGCCTTCCACGCAAAGGAGAGTCCCATCCGGACACGGGACGAAGTCTTCAATCTTGTATCTTCATAGTCCAACAGTCCGGCCAAAGTATATAGTCCGGCTGTCCGAGGACCCCCTGATCTAGGACTCCCTCAGTAGCCTCTGAACCAGGCTTCAATGACGACGAGTCCGGCGCGCAGATTGTCTTCGGCATTGCAAGGCGGGTTCCTCCTCCGAATACTCCATAAAAGATTTTGAACACAAGGGCAGTGTCCGGCTCTGCAAAACAAATTCCACATACCACCGTAGAGAGTATAATATTTTCACAAATTTAATCTGCTAACAACTTTTCATAACATGACATCACGCCATGGCTCCGGTTATTATTCGAACCACTTTTCTCAACAAGCTACTGCACATATTGCGAGGCGGTTTACTTGGCACGTCTTGTCGAAGCAGAGATCGTGTCCCCTTATCCCGGGATCCTCATCAATATGGGTGTGGGTAACCCAATCGCGCCATCAATCACGACGCTTGGGGAATAAGTGAGTTTTACCAGGAAAGTGGGGAGGCCCGCAGTTTCTACCGCCCTTATAAAGGGATTAGGACTCCTCTTTTTTACCCATGCCTTCTTCTTCCCTGCCCATCCATTCTCGCGCACTCGAGCTCCAGCGCCCAAGTTCGCATCATCTCCGCAAAAACACTCCGAACATGTCCGGAGCGGGAGGCAAGTGGATGGCCTCCTCCGTTACGGAGGAGAACATCTCGAAGCTCCGGGAAGCCGGATACCTGGCGGCAGATATTGCGCACCGGTTCCCAGGCGCGAGGCAGATCGTTCCTACCCCCGAGCCCCACGAAAGGGTTGTATTCCTTACCCATTTCGTCTGTGGGCTGGGATTTCCCCTCCACCCATTTGTTCGCGGGCTCATGTTCTACTACGGGCTGGACTTCCATGATCTGGCCCCCAATTTCATCCTCAACATCTTGGCGTTTATCGTCGTGTGCGAGGCCTTCGTCCGCATCAAGCCCCACTTCGGCCTGTGGCTGAAGACCTTCAATGTTAAACCGAAGGTGGTGGTCGGCCAGCAAGCGGAGTGCAGAGGCGCCATGGTGGGAAAAATGCCCAACGTCACCTGGCTCGAAGGCTCCTATGTGGAGACTGTAAAGGGGTGGCAATCGGGGTGGTTCTACATCACCGAGCCGCGCGACACCAACTGGGCGGCGGCCTCCGAATTCCGATCCGACATCCCCATGCGGCTCACTGCTACCTCTTGAGCACTTGCGTTGGTTTTCCCTTGAAGAGGAAAGGGTGGTGCAGCAAAGTAGCGTAAGTATTTCCGTAAGTTTTTGAGAACCAAGGTATCAATCCAGTAGGAGACCATGCACGAGTCCCTCGTACCTACACAAACAAATAAATCCTCGCAACCCACGCGATAAGGGGTTGTCAATCCCTACACGGTCACTTACGAGAGTGAGATCTGATAGATATGATAAGATAATATTTTTGGTATTTTTATGATAAAGATGCAAATTAAAATAAAAGGCAATAAAAATAACTAAGTATTGGAAGATTAATATGATGGAAGATATACCCAGGGGCCATAGGTTTCACTAGTGGCCTCTCTCGAGATCATAAGTATTCATGGCGGGTAAACAAATTACTATTGAGAAATTGACAGAATTGAGCATAGTTATGAGAATATCTGGGTATGATCATGTATATAGGGATCACGTCCGAGACAAGTAGACCGACTCCTGCCTGCATCTACTACTATTACTCCACACATCGACCGCTATCCGGCATGCATCTAGAGTATTAAGTTTAAGAGAACAGAGTAACGCTTTAAGCAAGATGACATGATGTAGAGGGATAAACTCATGTAATATGAAATAAACCCCATCTTGTTATCCTCGATGGCAACAATACAATACGTGCCTCGCTGCCCCTACTGTCACTGGGAAAGGCACCGCAAGATTGAACCCAAAGCTAAGCACTTCTACCATTGTAATAAAGATCAATCTAGTAGGCTAAACCAAACTGATAATTCGAAGACACTTGCCAAGATAACCAATCATACATAAAAGAATTCAGAGAAGATTCAAATATTGTTCATAGATAAACTTGATCATAAACCCACAATTCATCGGTCTCAACAAACACACCACAAAAGAAGATTACATCAAATAGATCTCCACAAGAGAGGGGGAGAAGTTTGTATTGAGATCCAAAAAGAGAGAAGAAGCCATCTAGCTAATAACTATGGACCCGTAGGACTGAGGTAAACTACTCACACTTCATCGGAAGGTCTATGGTGTTGATGTAGAAGCCCTCCGTGATCATGCCCCCTCCGGCGGAGCTCCGGAACAGGCCCCAAGATGGGATCTCATGGATATAGAAAGTTACGGCGGTGGAATTAGGGTTTTGGCTCCGTATCTGGTAGTTTGGGGGTACGTAGGTATATATAGGAGGAAGGAGTACGTCGGCAGAGCAACATGGGGCCCATGAGGTTGGAGGGCGTGCCCAGGGGGGTAGGCGCGCCCCCTACCTCGTGGCCTCCTGGTTGATGTCTTGACGTAGGGTCCAAGTCCTCTGGATCATGTTTGTTCCGAAAATCACGTTCCCGAAGGTTCCGTTTAGACTCCGTTTGATATTCTTTTTCTGCGAAACCCTAAAATAGGCAAAAACAGCAATTCTGGGCTAGGCCTCCGGTTAATAGGTTACTCCCAAAATAATATAAAAGTGTATATAATAAAGCCCAATAATGTCCAAATCAGAATATGATATAGCATGGAACAATAAAAAATTATAGATACGTTGGAGACGTATCAAGCATCCCCAAGCTTAATTCATGCTCGTCCTTGAGTAGGTAAATGATAAAAACGGATTTTTTGATGTGGAATGCTACTTGGCATAATTTCAATGTAATTCTCTTAATTGTGGTATGAATATTCAGATCCGAAAGATTCAAGACAAGAGTTTAATATTGACATAGAAATAATAATACTTCAAGCATACTAACTAAGAAATTATGTCTCTTCAAAATAACATGGCCAAAGAAAGTTATCCCTACAAAATCATATAGTCTGGCTATGCTCCATCTTCACCACACAAAGTATTCGAATCATGCATGATACTTCTCCGTCGTATATATAATATTTGATTGTTCCATGCCAATATTATTCAACTTTCATATACTTTTTGGAAAAAATTTATATTATTTTTGGGACTAACATATTGATCCAGTGCCCAGTGCCAGTCCCTGTCTGTTGCATGTTTTTGGTTTCACAGAATATCCATGTCAAACGGAGTCCAAACGGGATAAAAACGGACGGAGCTTATTTATGGAAAATATGGAAAATTCGGAAGGAAAATCAACGCAAACCAGTGCCCGAGGTGGTCACGAGGCAGGGTGGCACCCCCCTAGGGCGCGCCACCTACCCTCGTGAGCCCACCGTAAGGCGGTTGACGCTCTTATTTTGCCGCAAGAAAGCTAATATTCGAAAAAAAATCACGGCGAAGGTTTCAGGCCAATCGGAGTTACGGATCTCCATATATATACGAAACGGTGAAACAGAGCCAGAACAGAACGCAGAACCAGAGAGAAACAGAGAGATAGATCCAATCTCGGAGGGGCTCTCGCCCCTCCCATGTCATGGAGGCCAAGGACTAGAGGGGAAACCCTTCTCCCATCTAGGGAGGAGGTCAAGGAAGAAGAGGAAGAAGGGGGCCCCTCTCCCCCTCTCCTCCGGTGGCGCCGGAACACCGCCGTGGCCATCATCATCATCACCACGATCTTCACCAACACCTCCGCCATCTTCACCAACATCTCCATCACCTTCCCC